CTCAAAATATATAATGAAAACAACCATTAGTCTATCAGATTTAATTGCACTGTCTTAAGTGCCAAATATTCTTTTAACCCACTACCAAAATTTTTGCCATCAATGACAAGAAAGTAGTGCTGAATACACGACAGCAGTATCGCATCAATAAACAGAATGGTGTCCACAGCCGGGCTTATCGAAAGATCTTTTGTCTCGATCCACTGATCATGGATTATTGCCCATATTGCAACTGCAATTTTCACTATCGATAGGACTATTGCAATCTTTCGCTGTTTAATATTTTCCTCATCTGGTCTCACAGAAACCAAAATCTGCTGAATAAACGACACAGCAACATAGACGATAACGACATATGAAGTATTGATGAATGTTATAAGTTCGTTGTCTATGAACCTACTTGCTATTGAAAATGTACAAAAAAGTTCAGTCCACCAAAGGTTTCCAAACACTTTCTGATCGCATAGGCACAGTTAATTGCCTCATCGAAGCCTATTTTTTTAAACAGCTGAAATTCGAACTCATATTTTCTTGAATATGAGGTGTAGAGTGAGTAGAATCCTTCAACTACAAATGAAGACGAAATTATTGAAAGAATTATCTGGTATTTTGCTTGGCAGGTTAGTCCTGTATAGGCATCAACGAATATTGAAAGCACTGCATTATGAAACATCAGAGCAACTGCCAGTAAATAGGCTATGATGTTTGAAACGCTGAGGGCTTTTAATGCCAAATATAGTTGGCAGATATTGAATTGAGCTAGATATATAAAATCCCCAAACGATTCACGAAGTGAATGTTTTTTGGATACTGTATTATCTGATACTACTTTTATCATGGTGAATGCTACAAGTCTAAACCAGAAGAAAAATATGTGCGACATGCATGGTGCACATGCCATTTTAACTGCATTGCCTGTAAGGTTTTTTAGCGATTTTCTCATAAATAGGGTAGATTAGACTTTTAATTAAAAATAAAAACAAATATATGTAAAGCATACAAACCATTAACTACTATAAGTTCTCTTTGTATCCAGGATATCTCACATCTATGCTGACATGTCAAAATACTAATAAAATTTATTATACGGCTGGTATGATTTGGTATTTAATTTCCAGCCAAACGCTGGTAATGCTGGGTCTAATGAGTTGGTTGGACACATCGTTTTCTATTCTCTCATTGTAGCTTTATGGATGCTATTTATCATCTTTGAGGTGTCAGAAGCTACTACAGAAAATGTAGTGTTCTATAATCGCCACGTTGCCACTTGTATGAAACAGAAAACTATGGTCGGGTCTAACCATCGCTTTTTATTCTTTGTCTGTAAGCTCGTACATCAAATGTCACGTTAATCTATCACCACTATTGTTTTATTTGATTTGTTTGGTTGAATGTAAATTTTTGCTAAACAAATACAAACCCTATGGAGGACACAAAGATTCACAAATATTTTGTATTAAAAATCTATAATCCAATAATTGCAGCAGTTAAAACATATAAAAGCTCTAACAAAATTGTGAAGATTGGTAGTAGCGAAGAGTGTGACTTGCAAATATTCTTGCCTTCTCTCCTGCCAATTCACATTGTTGTTGACTTTGAGAAACACAAAATCACAGCCGTTGGAAATAATGTTCATTGTGATACAGTGCCTGTGTTGCAGGGAACAAGCGTCTCTTTCAATAACGATTCTGTCGTTCGAGTTCACAGCATTTTCATGGTATTTCTTGTAGTCGAGTCACTTCAGAAAATAGACGCGTATGATGCAAAGATAACTTCTGTAGCCTCTAGATTTAAAGAGTACTCGCCTGTACTTAAGATCACACACAACACTGACACTTTGGGTAACAGTATTGTGGATGGGCGCAAAGCGGAGGAAATGAAGCAGCAGAGTGAAAACAAACAGTTTTTGGATAATGTATATGAAAGGGAGCTGGGGGACTTTTCAAAAACTCCACCCATTCACTCGTCAAGTAAGCAGGTGGAAAAACACGAGTGGAAAGATAAAGGCAATGAAGCTACTGCTAAGGTTGTAGACAAGATGGCTGTAGAAAGGATGATGGTGGGAAGGACAGAGGAGGAGATTAAAAAAGCATTCAACATCCAACCTTCGCCAGAGATGTTGGAGGCAGCCATACATAGAAAGCTAGAAAATCTACAGCAAGAAGCTAATAATGTGCTTGATGGCGACATAAATATTCCAATAAACAAGCCTCGTCATCCTGACTTGGGAGAAATTGCCATTGATAACGATTTGCTTCGCCAAGCGGAAAAGGACATTAAGTCGGCCGGGCAAGAACTAACAAGAGATAAGGTTCTAGAGGCGGAAGTTAATTCGTTAGAAAAGTTGAAAAATAACATCACAGATAATATTAAGGAAGAGATACGTGAGGAAATCTCATATATCCTTCAAGAAGAAGCAAAAGACCATGTTGAAAAGGCTGTGGAGAAGTGTCTACAGGCACCTAAATTTACCCAAGTAATTTCCAAATCGGAAAACGAAACGAAGGATGTTCCTAAGGGCCAGACTCGAAAGCAGGAAGAAAAGGGACTGGGCCCAAATGAATTGGAGGTTATTAAGCAAGAGCCAAATGGCGAGTTTGTGGCTAAAAGAAAAAAGATGGCTGAGGAACAAAAACCCGAAAATATTTTGCCTTTTACAAACAAAACAGGAAAGTCATTACCACGGTCTGAAAGCCAGAATGGCAAAAAAGAGCCTAAGCATACAGACAGCAAGGAGCTTAAGAAAAGTGGAAGTAAAAGCAAAAAGCAGGATCAGGAAGAGCATGGTAAGGATGTTGAAAAGAAGTCAGGTAGACAAAAAGCCGATAAAAAAGACGACAAGATGATTAAAAGTAGCAAGCCCAATAAGAAGAAGCATAACGAGGAAGATGTGGAAGGGCATGACAGTCAGGATGAACCTAGAATGACAGCGAAAAAGAGCAGAGATATGAAACAAGATGGAAGTAAAGATGATAAAGACGCTCATACAAAGTCTAGCCGCCAGAAGGAAACAAAAGGGAATAAAGGTGGCACAGTAGTTGAAAAGAAACCTGATAATAAAAAAGAGAATAAAAGGTCTGTCAAAAAGAGTAAGGATGATACACAGGACACGAAAAGATTCGATAAGGAGAAAACGAATGCTAATGTGAAATCTGATAGACAGAGAGAATCTACGAATAAAAAGACTGAAGACGATAAAAAAAATAAAAAGACATCCGGAAGGCCAACCAGGAAGGCGGCTGTTGCTTCAAAAAAGAAGTAGAATCTGTGAAGGTTCTTTAATACATCTCCTTTCTTGCTTATGTCCAATCATTTTGACGGAATCAAAAACTTTTCTGTTATATGTGCAAAAAGTAAAATAAGCACCATTTCTTAGAATAAACCCTTTTCTGTTTAGGATATAATCTAAGAAGTTTTGTGCTGGTCACTAAAGCTTGGCTTGGCATGCAAATCTGCTTTATTAATATCACGACGATGATCAAGTATTGTTGATACGATCAACTATATTAGGTAAGCAAAGTATTGGCATTACTAGACTCGGGCGCATTTAATTAAATACAACAACATGTGCACATCGTTTTGATGCAGCTTCTGCTTCCTTTTTCAAGTATATTCAAGCTGAGCAAGTATTCTTGTGTGAAGTATTGTGTTATTGCATTCGCAAAGAAGATGTCACTATTTTCGCCTATGAACATCTGGCTTTTTAATCTGTTATCAATTGGAAGCTCGCATACTAACTTGAGAGCTTCACACAGCTTTTCTTTATTTTCATTAATTGCCCTCGTTAGGAGTATGATAACCTTTTTGGGTGTAAATATCCTATAAAATGCATCCAGCACATTTCCTGGATATCCCATGAACGGATCCTGGCCCATCGTTCCAATTACTGTTTTAAAGTTAAAGTTAAATCCAAGCTCAAGTCTCATTTCGTACTTCCAATGGTTCAACACATGCACATTTTGCGTGGCATTCATCGGAGTTACAGTCTGGTCAAAAACCTTTTCTTTGTACGTAGCAATGTAGTTTTCAACAAAGGTCTGCAACGATTCCAACGGATCGGTTCTCTGATACAGCGTAAAATAGCTGAATCGGAGTTCTGCCATTTGCCTGTCTGGACAGTAGTTTATTCCCTCGCAAATATTCGACACATGTGATCGTATTTTATCAAAATCCGTGATATTTTCGCTTTTGGTTAATATTTTTAATATCCCCTCAATCAGATCTTGTGCAAGTGGAATATACTCTTGATTCATTCTCCACTTATCATAGTTTGTATTTGTATAATATAGATGCACAATATAGTTCCTAAATGTCCTCTTGTGATCATAATCAATGACCACTGGTGCAATCAAATCATCCCACAGCTTTAGGATCTGCTCACCACCCAGCGTGTGTTTTGGAATGTCGTCCGTCTTTAAAGCTGCAAGCTTGCTTCTATTCCATCTAATAGGCTCATCGTCAAGACGACTATATACTTCTCTCTTGCTCAAAGGCACAATATGAAGACTGCGTGTATCAAACACAGCCCGGTCTCCAAATATTGCCTGAATCTCAAACTTCCCAAAAGTAACCTCAGATCCAAAGTCTTCAATTTGGTTACGCCTAAGATCAAGTAGCACAAGTGTGTCGTTCAGCTCAGCAATGGTGCATGGCAGTTTCTTAATGTTATTCTTGTATAGATTCAGTCTTCTGAGTTTCTTAAGCTTAGAAATATCCCTGTAAATGGCTGAAATGCTGTTAAATGAAGCTCCAATCTCCTTTAGATTTGTCATTTCATAGACGCAATCGGACAATCTTCTGAACTGATTCGTGTGGATTTTTAATATTGATAGTCTTTCCAAATTTTTCATGCTGTCAGGAAGATTGTCAAGCTTATTAGAGTTCAGATTCAGTTCCATAAGTTTACGCAGATTACCCATGCAATACGGTAGCCTTTTAATTGCATTGTTTGCCATATTGAGTTCTTCGAGTTCATACAATTTGGTTACACTGTCCGGGATTATTTTCAAACTGTTCTGTGCTAGACTAAACTTGGTTAGGTTTTTCAGTAGTCCAATCTTTTCTGGGATTTTCTTCAGCCTGTTAAAATCAAGAAATAGATGCTCTAGGGATGCCAAGTCGATAAAATTGTCCGGTAGGCTTTCAAGCCTGTTGGCCTTCAGCCATAGAACCCTCAAAGATTTTAGGTTACCAAAGCTTTCCGGTAACCTCGTTAACATATTAAAATTAATCATGCACTCTGATAGATTTGTCAGCTTTCCAAAGTTGTCAGGTAGAGAGGTGATCTGGTTACTGTTTAACCTAAGGACCGAAAGATTTTTCAATTTTCCAAAGCTGTCAGGCAATAATGGTATTTTATTGCAGTCCGCCACAAGCTCCATTAGGCTTTCCAGCTCTCCAAAGCTTCCCGGAAGCCTGTTTATTTTGTTATTTTGCATCCACAAAATAGCCAAAGATTTGAGATTGCCAATATTCTCAGGCAGAGCAGTTATTTTTGAATTTTGAATCACAAGCTGCTTTAGATTTATCAAGTTGTCAAAATTCTCAGGTAGTGTTTCTAGATTTTTATTTCCACTCAGCCTCAGAAACTCCAAATTTACAAGATTCTCAAATCCAAACAGCGTCGCAACTTTTGTATTCCTCACCTCGAGTCTTTTCAGATTGGCCATGTTTTTACAGCTCTCCGGAAACTTTTCCAGCTTCACTGATTTTATTTGCAGCTGCTCAAGTGATTGCAGCTTACCAAAATCCTCAGGTAACTGCTGAATGTTTGCATCACAGATGTCCAACTTTTTTAGATTTGCTAAATTCACAAATGTATCAGGCAAGCTTGTCAGGTTACCCCAGCCAATTAGATTTAAAGCTTCTAAGGACTCTAGGTTTCCTACATTATCTGCAATGGAGACTATGGGATTGTGATATAGATTCAATGTTCTCAAGCTTACCAAGCCGCTTTTGCACTCAATTACGTTGTTGTTTTTTATATCTCTTGAATAGACTACGTTTCCTAGTGAATCAGGAAGCACAGATAATTCATTGCTTGCAAGATCTAGGACCCTTAAATTCGTAAGATTTTCAAAACTGCTTGGCAGTTCAGTCAATCTTATGTTCCTGACTCTTAGCACCCTCAATGACTTGATGTCGCCGACATTTCTGCCTAGTCCAAGCAGCGAGTAGCACTTGTTTAACACCAGTACCTTCAAATTTTTTAATATTGAAAGACCGCTTGGCAAGCTTGACAGGTTTCTGCAACTTTTACAAGAAAGTATCCTAAGACTTGCAATCTGGCAGATGCTTTCGGGAAGCTGCTTGAAGTTTCCGCAATTTAGAATAAGCTTTTTCATTTTTTGCAACCTTCCAATGTTTTCAGGAAGTATCTCGATTTCGACACCATCTAAGTTGAGAATCTCTAAGTTTTGCAGCTCTGTTATAGTATCCGGCAATCTTTTAATTCTATTGCGGTCATCGGATATTTTCTTGCTTTCGTTTCTTGAATATTCCTCACAATCACTTATATTTTCGGGACCAAAACGGCCCAAACCGAGAATTCTAAGCTTTGCCAGATGTTTGATTGACTTGGGCAGTGCAGGTATTTTGTTTCCGTTGAGAATTAGCACCTCAAGATTAGTTAGCTCTGAAATTTCTCTGGGTATTGATTCAATCTTACAGAAACTTGCCAATAGTATCTTCAGTGATTTCAAATTAAGAATTTGAGACGGAAAATGCCCCAACTGCTGGTTTAGTGATAGCTTTAGCACCTTCAAGCCCTTCATTTTTTTGAATGATCCACGGAGCAGTGCTATTTTGTTTGATCGTAGATTCAGAACTTTCAGGTTTACCAGCTCAGTAATGTACTTTGGAATTTGTGTTATTTTATTGTTTGATAGGTCAAGAACCGTGAGGTTTTTTTGGAAGTGGATTAAGTAGCTCTTCTTGGCTTTTCCAGTTAGTCTTGCAGGCAGCTTGCTAATTTTATTGCTACCTAGATGTAGCTGTTTAAGGTTTTTTAAAGAGAAGATGCTTCTGGGCACCTCGACAATGTTGTTAAACTGTAAATAAAGCATCTCAACAGAGTTTAAGTTCCCTATTTCAGCTGGTATCGTTTTTATCTGATTACCCAGCAAATCTAACTTTTTAAGATAACTAAGACTTGGGCTGCACATAGAGTCTATTTTTGCAATGCTGTTAAAGCGTGCTGTGAGAGTTGCTAGCTTTGGTGACAGTCTTGGCAGCTCCTTGATTCTGTTAAATGCCACATCCAAATGTCTAAGATCAGGAAGGCCACTCAGATCTGGCAGCTCAATTAGTTGGTTGCCTTGCATTGATAAAAGCTTTAGAGTTGAGAGTTCAGCAATGCTGTCAGGTAGAAAATCAATGAGGTTGTTGTTTAAATACAGCTTTTCTATGCTTTTAAGATTAAAGATGCTTTTTGGAATCGCTTTGATTAAGTTTTTGTTCAGATTCAAAGTTCTAATGCTTGGTGGGAATTCGGGGACAGCCTCAAGCATGTTGCACTGTAAGTTAAGACACTTCAAGTGGCTAAGCTCGGCTATGCTTTTTGGAAGCTTGTTGAGTTGGTTGCTACTTAGACTTAATACGATTAAATTCTTAAATTTTAATATGCCAATTGGAAGGCTATGGAGACTAAGACCACACACTGAAATTTTCTGTGAGCCAATCGGATACCCTTCCTTCAAAATAATTTCTGTTATTTCCTTGTTGCGTTCCGGATGCATTTGCTTCTCCTTAATGATTGAAAATTTTCATATATTTGAATTTTAATAACCAATTGCCTTTGACTATTTTAACGAATAATAGTCAATTAAAAATTCATAAAAGATGCATAATTTGAAATCAATTTAAAAATTGCAAGCCAAAAACTTGTTTAAACAGCCGAGACGCTTAAGTAATGTCACCAATGTTAAAAATTTGCAGTGCGTTGTAGAGTGTAGCCGATGCACTGCAGTGCAATATAAAATCCTGAGTAGGCTTTAAGCTGATTTTCAATGCATTTCTCCTTCAATTTTTGATTAAAAATATTTTCAATTAAAAAGTGAAAGAAAATGATGCTAAAATTAAAAATATATTAGCTCAAAAATAAGTAAATTGATGGTGTAAAGACAAGAACACAGTGGTATGTGTATATGTTTTATTTTATCATGCAATACTCAAGACAATCACATTACAAATATTGATCTGCCTTAAAAATTTTAGGCATACCCATATGAATAAAATGAAAATAGCCAATGTCGTGGTCATTGCTATCTTTTCTGGTGTATTGTTTCTGGTAAATCTATTGCTTGTGGCAGTAGTAACAAAAACTGAGCACAATGATCCAAAGGCAGTTCCAAACAAGTGCCATTCGTCATTACGAAAAATGGCTGGCATTTTCATGCTAATGCTAAGGACGTATCAGAAGATATTTATACGACAGCAGATAGCTCAGAAGGGCTGGGTGTCTCCAATTTAGATATTACCGAAGTTTCTATTTCAATATGCAACGAAGATCATCCAGTTGATGCATATGGCCAAAACCCAGTGCAAATACATCAGAAACAGCGTCTAATGATCGACACACCGACAGTCAAGTCACCGTAAAAACGGATGCAGGTACTGAGAGCTTGGCTTTTGTTTCGCCTGTAGATTGGGATAATCCGGAAAATATAGTTTCAGGAAAAGATACAACTGGCCATATGTTATTTTAGCACGAGTTAAGTCCAAACAACAACCTCAAATCATGAGTATCGTAAAAATCGATCACAACACCAACCTAATTTAAACTAGTAGTCCATATGTTAATTTACATATTTATTTTCTCGTGCACTTTGCATAATATTAATTATTTGGCATACAAAACCACTTAATAAATGAATAATTTATTCTTGGGCAGCTGCCAATTTGGCACGGACTCGCTCCTTCCTCTCTTCAAGGGTAAGTTTGGGAATCCTATTATTGTAGTGAGTCTTGGCAATGCCTGCCTTCTTCTCACCTTTACTCTTCATAGGATTTTCAGCAATCTGCTTAAGGCATGCTTCAAGTTTAGACTGGATTTCCTCTGGTTTAATTCCAAGCGAAACATAACCGCCAAACTGCCTTTTATAGACTTCCTCATCATTGTCTCTCAAATCAATCATGTACTCAATATTCTGCTTCATGAAAATTCTATTCCGAAGCTCATTGGCATCAAGCCCCTTTTCTTTGGTATATCCGAAAAACTTAGTCTCGGAGTGGGGAATCTGCAAGCCAGCATCAGAGGCCCCTTTCATGGCAATAAACACATTTGCACCCCTAGAAGCTCTAGCAAGGCCAATGTCCAAGTATACTTTGTAGGCCTTATGCTCATCGTCCTTATCTTCTGTAATCGAGTATTCCCCAATCTGAGTATTTGGTTGATAAATCCTATCTAGGCCGTTGGACTGCAGAGCCCTTCGACCACACAAAAATCCAGTAGCATAGGCTGCAAAATGGTTTGTAAGGCCAAAGTTAACTCCGTAATTTCTCAGCTCAGTTGAATCAGCGTATGCCACAACTCTGTCACCATCAATAAAGGCCTTTACGATTGCACAGATTACTTTTGTATTGGTAATTCTAACAACCAGTCGAGACTTAACATTGTTGTGCTGAGTGCAATCCTGTCTCAGAAGATTTGTTCTATGCTGGTAGTCAGTCTTGCCTTCTCTTCTTCTCCTTCGCTTTGTCTGGAAGTTTCTCATGTAGTTTCTTGTTCCTTTTTTATTGGACATGGAGGACAAAAAAATTTTAGAATTTTATCTACAAAAATTTTCAAGAGACATAAAATAGAATACCAAAGTGCAAGTCTTACGAACGTTTCGGATCATTTCACATCAAGATGTGAAGCAAGACATTGCACGTTACTTGTCGACAAATCGATGTCATAGGATTTGTAAAACAAAAATCACATGCTCTAAAATAAAATTGATTTTGAAAATCAACTTTGATATTAAATACCACACAAAAATTTAGGAGAGGCAATGTAGTGGCAACAATCCCAAAAGCACACTGGCCAAAGTATTGTGGCAATTAAACCCGGAAATGCAATCACAAAATCTTAATTAATTTGTGCCAGCACATCTTTAGCACTGATTTAGAACCTCATTCTACTATGGAACGTACATGAGAACATCATTTTCCACAACTAAATATCCTTTTGAAACCAAACTGGTGATTGCATTTTCAAGGTCTGACACCTCACACTCTATTTGACTTTTCAGGGAATCAAAGGTTAGCTCCTTTAGTTTTTTCATAGTCCTACAGATCTTAGCCTCTAAAATATGAAGATGGTGCGTATCAGGCAATATAGCTTCTGAGTCTTCGGCCTGTCTTCGAGGAACATCAAAAAGATCCACAATGTTATTTGCAGAATGTTTGTTGATGCAATACAGTTTTGGCATTCCATCTGAATCTACATTTGAACTAACAAATCCATTTTTGATTAAAAAATCAACATTTTTGTCAAAGTATCTATCATTAGCAACAGTCCTCAGGAAGTCTGGTTCGATGCCATTATTATCTGCAATATAGAGCAGCAACGAAACGGCAGAGGTACACATCTTATATTTTGTGCCATTTAGCTCAAAAATAATTGGAGAAAGGCTAAAGTTAAACTCCAAAACATAGCGCTCTGGAACTTCAATCAATTCTAAAACCTGCATCTTAATTCTGTTGAGAGTAGGATGTAGGCTTGGATCATCTTTATCCACACTCCAGAAGCTTTTTACAACCTTAGCACAGGAAACAGTAATGGGATCGCCACCAAGAGTAAAACAGCAATACATTTTATTTTGAAAATTCATAACGCTCTTTTTTAATATGCTAGTCGAACTCCATCCAATTTTATCAGCGATGCTGTCCACAAATTCCTGTTCTCTCTCAGGACTCATACCCTTCAGCAGCCTTACCTGCGTACTCTGGGTATACAAATCAATCAAGTAGTCATCAAATACCAGAGAGAATAATTCAAAAAACCGGCAGGTATTTGTTGAGAACTCGCTTGAGTTATCTCTGCCGCCTTCGATATTGCCAGAGATACACCATGTTGATAACTCAACAGAATCAGAACATTGAGCATACACATCGTTAATATAGTGCATATTTATGATGTAGTTGTGGATATACTCGACCATTTCCTTGTGTATCTGGACCTGCTCACGTGTTGGTCTTTCCAAAAAGGACTTTTTAACACATTCGTCAACGATTTCATTAAATCCTGACAACTTGTTCAAAATGCCTTGTTGTACAATTTTGCAATAGCTCGAGAATAGGTCATCAAATGAATGTATCTTGCTTAGAACGCTCCAGACAAAATTCTCATATCTCCTTCTAAATATGTTTTTACAGTTCTCAGGCATCATGCTGATGATGATGTAGATATGCTTGAATTTCTCAAAATTTACAATTCTTTCAAAAGCATAGTCCAGAACCTCGTCTTTTCTAAACAAGATCGTCTGGATAATTTCTCTAGCCACGTCTCTATCATTAATCACGGTTGTGATAAAGAACATTTCAAAGTAGATCTTCTTCAGCAGCTTCCCAACCTCAACATTAAAGTTGAAGCTCTGCTTGAACTCATCGACATATCGCTTGTAAAAGTTAATTGAGTTGGTAACAAGTCCGTTGTTGGTCAAGCAAAGAAGATAGAATTCAATAACTATCGCTAGATCAGAGAAGTCTTGCCTATAAAACTTCCTAAGTGTTTCAATCTCAAAAAATATAATATTGACCAGGCCATTTTCAATTTTATATATGAACTGATAGTATATTTTGTAGAAAAACAAGTCTTTCACCTTTCTGACGTCCTTATTGTTCAAAATCGAAGTTCTTATATAAAAACGCTCCAAATAGCTGAATGTCTTTTCAAGAAGATCTACTGTTGAGATAAAAGTACGCACCTGCTCTGCTGTAGATGAGATCGAGCCGCTAAATTGCAAGTTCTCTGAAAATTTTTCGACTGTTTCGCTCAAAAGATTATATACAGCCTCTCCTTTGATCAAATAGTTGTCAGAATATTCAGTACAATGCGAATAAATACTGTTATATAGTTCCATGTATTCTTTCTGCGTTACAGATGCTGGTATATGCAGAATAGTGTTGAGGTTCTTTTGAATAGCTTCTCTTTGCAGCTCTGAAAGCATTGGGCAAACAAAAAAGGAACCACGTAAAGAGACACCAAGTAGAATTAATTTAATGGCCTAATTTAAAGTGATGTGCTAAATTAAAGACAAAGTGCTGCATACTGCATCGCAAACACTTAAGGTGGGCAGTATTTCAACAGCCTAAAGAAAAGTTTAAGGCACGAAATGCACTCAAATGGTTGTGCACTTTATTAGGACAAAGGTAGCGATTGTTAAAACCATGTGATCTTGCCCACAATAGAGATTTAGATGATTTCTATTCAAAATGCAAAACCAATATGGATTAGATCAATACTAGCTAGATTTAATTGTCAATGCAGAAGAGCAATCATTAGAAAAGTATCCGTTGGATACCACATGTACTTTTACATTTTGCTTTCCATTGCTGCATGGTATGCTCATCTTGATTTTCTTTACTCCCTCAAATGCATCTAAAAAGAAGACATCCCCCTCTAGACGATCGTTAATCTTCAAATATACTGTCCATTTATTGAAGACAATACCCTGTGAAAATGGGGTATGGCATATCGGTACTAGTCTTGGAGAGATCAGTTTAAACCGAATGTAAGCCTGGGAGTCTTTTGGTATTACAAAGAAATCACCCTCTTTCTTGATAACTTGAGCTTCCTCCTGGCCAAAATCACAGTTTTCAACAGCCGTGTCGATTGTAAAGGCCTTGAGCTCAGAAATTGTTATAGTTGGAATATTATTCAACACATTCAGGGCTATTTTTAGCTCTCTACCACCAAGAAATCTGTTTATGATCTTCTCGTCGGCATGTAATGTCTTTTTAGTAGGTTCGTTTGAAAATACAACCTGGCTTGCCTGCTCAAACTGAATTCCAGGATACTGAAGCTGGTAGTATTCTGCGCTAAATATGGCCTGGTTTACCATCTTTTCTATGATCAGCAGTGCTTCAAAAACTTTAGTCTTTCCTTTGGAAGATGCTATTCTCTTAAATGATTCTATTAACATTGAGCTTCTCGATCTAATGTACTCTCTATCGTCAGAATCTTCAATACGTCTAGCCAAATACATCAGAATTCTATGGTAGCCTTCTTCATCATCCATAACAGGTATAGCATAATCCATTTCTAATATTCTAACACAGTCTTTAGGTAATCTTCTGTTCCATTTTTTAGATGCGAATTCAACAGACTTTCCCATAATGAAAATGCACTGGTGGAGAATAATTGATGGAATCTCAGAAAAGTTGCAAATGTCCTCATAAAATCTTTCATTTGAGACATACTCAGACCCAGAAAAGCTTATTTTTTTGAAAGCAAAGTGCCTCAATAGAAAATAGACCGGAACAGCGACAGCAATCAAAATAATATAAAATATTAAAAAAGACGAGCTAAAGTTTAGAATGAAAGAAGGAATAGCAATCAGCAACTCCTTTGATGGGCCATTTGAGATCCAGTTGTTGAGAGACTCTGGATCCTTGAGTATTGCAAACGCCTTGTTTAGATTTTTAATTCCCTCAGTGGCTTCCTCTTTGAAATTTTTCTTGTTTAGCCTTTTGTTGAATACTTTCAACATTTTCCTGTAGTTTTTCTTAATTTCCTCAAAAGAGCTTTCAGGAGTTACATTCAAAACCTGAAATGGATCAAAATCCGCTGTTTTTTTGTTGATTTTAATGGTCAAAACATTTTTGCACAAATAAGCAACGATTAGACACACGACGGCAGTGGACATGGTCTTTGGAAGGTTTCTTTTGGGCTTTTTTGAAATGCAGTTTTTACATGCACATTTGAAGACCGGTGCTCTCTTGAGAAGTGAGTAAAGAAGGTAAGTGGAGAGCGGAATGAGTGCAGTGAGCAATAAATAGCTGCTTGCAAGCCCATCTTTGTCCAATTGCTGCTGCTTCATGGGGTTATATTTTAAGAAAATATCTAAACAAAGCGGTGGATTTCTACAAAGAAGACTCAGTAATACGTCAAACATAGAACAAGATCTGAACTCTTGTGATGCAAGCTGATGCGCTGCTGTTGACTATTATACTGGATGCTTGGGCGTATTTTCATATTGGGCATTCTATTTTCTCATATTCGTGAGCATATGTCACTGAGACGAAATTGAGGCAAATTTAATATGCGAAAAAGCTATCTATGTCTCTGCAAATACTAAAATATAGTAAGAACTGTGGCAGCTATAGTGCCATTTATAGTTTACTCAAGTACCTGATCTACCCTATTGCTACAAAATAATCTATTACAAGGCAAATATATCCGAGTTTTCTTTTGAAGAATAACCAGCTATCTGCTCGGTATTTATTTTTCTAGTTCTTCCCTTTCTATCTAAACAAACAATGAAAATTTTACCCATGCTCTCCTTCATTGTAAATGCAGTCATCGCTGCAGCCCTTTTCAACAACATCCACAACAGCTTCAGGAACACCTCAAAGCCATGGAGAAAATTCTACAAACATTACTTTGTCGTAATTGCTACTCTTTTGGTTGTTGACAATACCTTCTCATTTGTTCTGTACAGAATTCCCTACTACCAAATATTCAAGCTTCTGATGCTAGGATGGATGAGCGTTCCGTTGGGCACAGGACCCCATTTTATGTACAATGTGTACATAAAGAATATTCACAAGCTGTTTGAGGGTGATATCGACTCTGTTATTAATAATTTAAGGGGTTACTGTGATCACGTCAAGAACAAATACTATGAAATGGTAAACTCCTCTAAGAAAGGACAGATTGAGATAGGATTTAGTAATGACTCAAAGCTTGAGCTTCCAAAAAAGCAAGAGTGTGAAAGTTCTGAGGTAGATGTTTCCAGCGTTGCTCTTTCAGATACAGAGAAGAACAGTGATGAAGAGGCTAAGGTTGAAGAGAAGCAAGATTAAAATTTTCTTCAAAGATTAGGCAGCTGTGTATTTTTAATTTAAATATTAATCTATTCGAATAACGTTTAATTGCAATATGTGTTGTGACGATTGAAAAGGCAATGCTCGATCAAGATACGCTCGTTGAACTGATAGTAGCTAAGGTTTTGGGCCAAAGAACATGCACATTCTTTGGCCTTCACAGGCCCTCAGGCTCAGAATACAAAGTCCCAGACCCATTTCTAAGTCTGCAATTCTAAGTATAATCAAAACGTATCATATTTGCTTAATCTAATTTATTTAATCAAAACCAGCTGTCGAATCTATAGTAAAACATTAAACGGTATTTTAGTCAATCCTTTCGTAAAACAGAATGTACGAACTGGCTTTGTCGGGCCTTGGAACTTTTGATATTACGCCGTCATTACAACAGTACCATCCGCTATCTTTTCTCAAGTAGGCTACATAATGCCCATAGCCAAGGCCAATTTCAATGTGGTTGGATGTTGCTATGAGCCTGTATTTGCTACCTTCAATCTTTAAATTATCCTCGGGAAACTCTATAAACGTGTTGATTTTCGTTCCGCTTTCAAGATAGCTGAATCTTTTCAGGTGTATTATTAAATATTTTGGCTGCTTGGTAATGGTTGAGTGCAGAATAAACTCGCGTGAAACGCCACATTTCTCACATTTCAGCTCTACATTGTCGTTTTTAGAGCAATATTCTAAACAGTCCTTGAGAGAAACATCATTCTTTTTCTTAGATGGTGTTATTGTCAGAAGCGATAGTTTATCCCCAAATATCTCAGAAACATCATCAAATACAACATCTATGCTTGGCATGTTTAGTATTGTATTGAACGCTCCTTTTTTCATTTTAACCTTACTGAAAAACTCCATCATAGAAAAATTTTTTACAAAATAGCCTTTTAGTTTTCCATAAAGATTAACTCTGCAATGGTCTTCTTCAACTATAAAATCTATGGGCACTTTGCGTTTAATAAAGTATAGTTTTCTATAGTATAGATGGCAAATAATGTGGGTGTGGCTTGGTCTAACTTCGTAGAAAAATATGTTATTTTTGACATTACTGATGCTTTTAAGACTTGGAAGAACTTGAACAATACAATCGTCATAATATTCAACTGCAATGAGGCTTGAAGTAATGCCATGCTCTATTTTTGTGTATTCTATTGCTTCTTGGACCGAAGAACTAAGCGGGATCAGGACTTTTATAGGAGGGCTATTTCCAAGTAATATCAGTGTGCATGATGAATGATAGCTGACTTTGTTTGGAATTGACAAGGGTAAGAACATTATCAGATCATTTTTAAACTTCTTATATCCACAAAAGCGGCATTCCATTATTGTAGTTGCCATTCCATAAAAGAGTTCGCTTATAATCGACCTCTCCGCGTTGATAAGTCTTTCAAATTCATTTGAAGCCAAATCATCATTTAAGTATTGATTCCTATCCGTATTTAAGTTGGCACACGCTGAGGATTTTGGTAACTCTTGAAAACAACCATTTAAATTCTGGCTATCTTTGGTATCAAGATTTGAAGTGGGATCTTCGGTGTCCATAATGTCCTCGTGCTTCTGACTAAATAGGCTACCTATACAAGAATCAATAGATGAAGGGCCAGTAGACGAGTGAGTGTCCAGACTGGATAAACTACTGGACACTGAGCTGGGCATACTACATAAAACACTAGACTGGGTGTCTGATGCTGTTGATGCTTCAGCCTTCCTTTTGTAGCATAGTCCCTCGTGAAGATACGTCAATACGGATTCAATAAACTCTGCAGCATCCTGCTCTTTTGAATTATTAAACGCCTGGTTTTTTGAGGCTATTTCGTATTTCAGAATTCTTGGTGAAAAGGGCTTGGACTGCCTGCACATCCTCACAATATCAGACCATGCTGAAATAATGTGTAAGTTTTTTGCAAATTTTTCATTTTTGCCAAGCTCATTAAAGGGCGGTTGAGGATCCTGGGGATTAAATAGTTCTCTAAAACAGTAGAAGAAGTTGGAGAATATAGAGCAACTGTTAAGACACTGAATGCTCGAGTTCATGTAGCAGCTGTTACCAATATTGATAATTCCCACACAGTCCTGGTTCTTCATGCTCTTCAAAATAGCCACTTCAGAGGAATTTTCAAAGTCTGTGCAATCCATCATTTGAAGCAGACTACTGACTCTTTCCTTGCTTCGATCGTTCAAAGTATAAATTTCTTCATAAAATTTCATATTAGTCATAAACATCGAGCTAATATCATTCTCACATGATGTCCCAGAACACCTGCCAGAAGGGCAGCCACTGTGACTAGAAAGTGAGCACAGCTCATTTTCGTTGATAGTTGACGTCTCTAGAACCTGTGGATTGTCATCTCTAGCGTCGACCTTTCTTTCAACCGTTAAGATAATTTGTCTTGAAGAATCACCAAAATTCTCAAAATTCATCATCGGATTTATGGTACTTGAATGCCACTTGATCTCGTACATTCTGTTAAATTGGTCTATAGACCAGGCTTTGCACACAAAAAGGGTCTGTATTACATCAAAAACCTTTTCCACGCCATGGACATTTACATTCTTAGACGTATATCCGTTGCATAGAAACGAAATATACACATTATATGCATTTTTTATGGGAATTTCAACATCATACTCCGTCTTTCTAGTCTCCCAAACAGAGGATGAAACAATATCATAGTCTATGTTTCTTCTGGCATCCATGCGAAGACTACCCGTCGGCCCCAAAAGGCTTGAGTTTTTCTTTGAAGCATGTAAAGTTACAACATAGAATCCTATGGATGATTCCTCAATTTGATTTGTCATGGGTGGTGTGAGAATGTAGTTTATAAGGAAAACAATAGAGCAGAGGAGGTAAGTGCATGATGCTTTATAATCTGAGCAAGACTGTGATGGTGCCAACCAAAGCGTAGAATATGTTTTTAACTGGGCACATTAACTACTCAAACTAAAACCTTAAAAACCCATTGGTTTTGTAGGCTGGCAAGCAAATATAAGAACACTACCAATACACATTCTGCAACAAACAGCTTTTGGCAGATAAAGTTTTATTTGATTGACCTTGAACAATACACTATTAAATTCTAATCCATGCTTTATTATTCAAAGCATTTCTTCTTGCATTTCAGCATTAGCAACGATGCATTTTAACAACGCATTTGTGAACAAAGTTACTTAAGCCCCCTCATGGTAGAGATTAGCAACAAATTTTTCCTGAATCTTGAGCAAGAGTCAGAGGAAGAAATGGACGGAAGCTTTGAAACAGTATTTCAAAATGAGGTATCTATCATGTCCAAAGATAACTCCAACTATGTTAAAAAACTTAGGGAGCAAATTGCAAAAATTGACAATCTGAAAAGCATGCAAAAAAGCAACAAATAAAAATCTCGTTCATTGTTGTACAGAGTTGTAGATTATGGTTCGATCATTTGTATTTTATGTTTTCACGCCATTATTCATAAGTGCCTCATGCAAAATTATCTACTTAGAAGTCTTGGGCATTAAAATAATTTCTGATACATTCGTTTTAAAACAGTGAATGGCTTAAGAAATAGCTTGACAAGCATGACAATGAAGGATCCCTACGATTTACAGCAAGCTCAGAAACAAAAAAAAACATCTCTTGAGCAGGAACTGTCTGAAGAGGCTGCTAAAAAAGCTACAAAGATTGAAAAGGGAAGCTACAATAGAGCACGCAAGGCAAGAAAAAAGCTGGAAGAGGCGGAACAAAAGCAAAAAATGACAACAGAAGAGGTAAGAAAGCAGAATGAATCATTGGAGCATGGACGGCAGGGTGCATTCAAGGTTCATGAAGAGGCAGAAAAGGCCAAGGATACAGCCATAACACTGGAGAAGGAAAGAAACGCATTTGATATTCTTGCACCTGCTAAAGCAAAATATGGAAAGTGGGCTGCAAAAGATGCACAGGCAGCAGCCGAAATTGAACAAATGAAAAACAAGTCATCTGAACAATTGGAAAATGAGGCTATGTCAGAAAACAAAGAACTGGGAAATTTGAATGCAAAAACTGAGGCAGAAGCGAAGACCAATAAGGAGCTTCAAAAGATCTACAAAAGCGTTAAAAGGATCAACAAGGAGACTGAGGTTCAGTCACGAGAAAGCAAGAAGCAGAAATCAAAGCTAGGTGATATTATGAAAACAAGTGAATATGCCAAAAAATCAGTTAAAGAAACCGACGAGAAATTACGCAAGAATTTATGAAC